AAATATTTGCAAAAATGGGAGGGGTGTACTCACTTATGTGAGATACTGTATTTGATAAGCTACTAATTATATCACAAGTAAAGATTTTTGCCAACAAACCATATGAAAACATAGAAATGCAGCTGAAACTATTAGTCAATTCATTACCAAATTAATTGGCAATTATTTTCACAATTGTTTAAGTAATTTTTTATGCAATAAAACATTTCATGGTTTCAGCTTCACATGTATATGTATTGGGACCTGTTGCTTTTCTTTTTAATTATTTAATTATTTTAATTTATTAAATTAATGTAAACTTTTCTGCTTTGAGTGCTTTTACTTTATATACTTAAATACATATCCCTGATTTTGATGTAGAGCTTTTACTAGCAACAAAGCATTTTTACAGTGTGGTATTAGTGCTTCTACCTAGGTAAAGGATCTGAATACTTCCTTCACCACTGCTGCTCACATGGCAAATGTTTTGTCATTGCAGGGTTTTTGAATTTCCTGTAACACCAGTACTGACAGTAAAAATCATATTTACTTTGTTTAAGTTTATATAACAGTATGTTAGTTTCACTGCTGTTGGAGTTCTTTTTCATACAGTATTTTTTTTGGTGGCGTCTCTCCAATCTTTGTCAGTCTTCGCACATGGCACCACACCTGCCCATATATAGTGTCTAGAGGGTGTTATGTATGCTAATAGGTCACTTATGGTCATGTGGGATTCATCATTCAGCACAGCTGGTTAAGAGCAGATTATGATGGTTAAGAACGTTTGGTGCACCTGGAGTTGACTTCTCGTTTATTTTTTCTTACCAGAAAATATAAGAGAAATTTAACAGTATGTTGCCACATAAGGGGCCCATTGTCTCAGTTGTTTTTTTACGCATCCCTAAAATGGCCCAAAAACCAGTTAATGCCAACACATTGTCACTCCCAACTCAAAAAATACTGGCACTTTTCAGTGGCCCTGCAGGTTATAATATGATGTTCTAGGTAGCTTTAGCATCACTTTTTGATGCTTGGGGACAGCATGTCAATTTCCACTTGTATGTGCATTGTGTCTTTTCAAAATAATACTTCCACATTCAAAGGAAATGTACAGTTTCCGCTCGTTAAATACATACAAGGTCGTTTCAAAATAAACTTCCAACTTAGGTTAATTTCCTTAGGTTTCGGTAACACGTGGTTAGGTTTAGAAAAACATGATGGTTTGGGTTAAAATTACTATGTCTTACTGATGTTATGTCATGTATTTCACTCAATGCACGTCACATTCATTAGACGTCATGTGACACACTACACTACAGAATAACTCACCATTTATTTATGGTTTCACACATGAGACAAACGTCAGTCTACTGGGTGAAAATCCTGTGTTTGTTTGACTTATCCAACACCCCTCCCACCCAACTTATCCAGACTTTGTCATTCTTTATACTACAGCAGTTGCTCAGAGCGTTAGAAAATAAAGTGGCATGTTGCGACACGCACATGTGGTGCATCCGTAACTGACGCTGGGGGCCACTGACCGATCATCAGTATTTGACAAGCTGGGAGTGAGGACAAGTTGTTGATGCAGATTTAAATAGATGTCTTCATATTACACATCATACTCAGTCTTCCTCTTAATTGTCTCTCTTCTCCTCGACTCTCCTCTGTTCAGGAATGTTCTCCATATGCAGCTCACCTCTTCGATGCTGAGGTCCCAACCACCCCGCTCAGGACCATCCCTGGCCTCTGTCCTGACTACTGCTCCCAGTTCTGGAAGAAGTGCGGCTCCACCATCCCTTACCTGTCTGACGACCCACACATAGACAAAATTAAACATGACCAGACACTCCTCTGCCAGTACCTGCAGCTGGACGACGAGGACTACTGCTATCCACACCTCCTCAGCAACCAGAAGCTCACCCAGAATCTGGGCCGAGTTCAGTCAGACTCAGACGGCTGTCTGCAGTTGTGTCTGAAAGAAGTTGCGAATGGGCTGCGGAACCCGCTAGCTATGGTGCACGCCAATGATGGCACACATCGGTTCTTTGTAGCAGAACAGGTGGGCTTGGTGTGGACATACCTTCCTGATGGGTCCAAACTGGAGAGACCATTTTTGAACATTTCCAAGGCGGTGTTAACATCATCATGGGAAGGTGATGAGAGAGGCTTTCTGGGACTCACCTTTCACCCCACGTATAAGTTCAATAGGAAGCTGTATGTGTATTACTCAGTGGAGGTGGGTTTTGATGAGAGGATCAGGATCAGTGAGTTCCATGTGTCAGCCCACGACATGAATGTGGTGGATCATACCTCTGAGCGGTAGGTATGGTCTGATCCAGGTTGGCAAACAGCAGTAGTGCAATACCTGGTCTTTTTCTTAGTTGTCATGTCCACTTTCCCTTCAGGGTTATTCTGGAGATTGATGAACCAGCATCCAATCACAATGGAGGGCAACTTCTATTTGCAGATGATGGCTACTTGTACATTTTCACAGGAGATGGTGGAATGGCAGGAGACCCATTTGGGAAATATGGGAATGCCCAGAACAAGTAAGATGTCCCCCAAAGGTTTCTGGAACTAGACACCCTTTAATGTTCTTAAGTAACAAAGGATTAACCCACTTTTAGAAAATGAAGCAAAAGTCTGATATAGGGCTACTGTTACATCCATGTTTTAGTCATACTATATAAAGTTAGTTCAGATATATACAGTATATATATATGTGTGTGTGTGTGTTTGTGTATGTGTATATATATATATATATATAAATATATAAAAAGAGTAATTGCACGTTTCTGTGCATTTGAGATAAAATATTATTTTTTCTATGTTGAACATCTACTTTAGGTCAGCTCTATTGGGTAAAGTTCTCCGTATTGATGTGGATGACAATGAGAGAGGCCCATTGTACAGAATTCCTCCAGATAACCCCTTCATACACGAACAGGGGGCACGACCTGAGGTCTATGCTTACGGTGTCCGTAACATGTGGAGGTGTTCTGTGGACCGTGGCGACCCTGGCAACAAAGAAGGCAAAGGCCGTATATTCTGCGGGGATGTGGGCCAAAACAAGTTTGAAGAAATCGACATCATCGAGAAGGGTCGAAACTACGGCTGGAGAGCCAAAGAGGGCTTTTCCTGCTACGATAAGAAGCTCTGTGCCAACAGCTCATTAGGTAGGCATGTTATGGTGATTACAGTGAAATGGTTTGGAAAAATCCATAGTTACCCTCCTTAAACTGCAGATAACAGTGGTCTCCAATTGATCATAATGAGGGACCCAGACTGTGGAATTTTTCATCACAAACAAACAATGTGGTAGCCCTCTACACAAACTCAGCCCAGTCGGCAGACGAAAATACTGGCATTGTACATTTCTGCAAACTGCAAATATCTTATATTGACACATTTCATACATCATATGACCATTTCTAAAGTGACATAGCATGTGAGATGACTTTGTCATCGGGAGGTTGAAGAGACGGCGTGCCACTTAAGCAAGATGCCTGCCAAGCTGCAGACCACTGCAGCCCACTGTTCAAGACCAAGAAACAACAAAACTGGTCATGGTTTAGTGAGTCATTGATGTGCTTTTAGTGGCTTTTTAGCCCCCAAGCATTGGTGTTTTCTCGTGACTCTTGACTTATTTACCAACGGCTTTTAGCCCCCAAACATGGATGTTTTTTAGCGACCTGTGAGTGATTTACCAATGACTTTTTAGCCCCTAAACGTGTTTTATAGGGACCCATTGCTGTGCTTCCTGTGGTTTTTCAGCTCTCAAACATGGAGGTTTTTAAGTGATGAGTGGTTGTTTTACCAGCCGCTTTTTCATACTCAAACATGGGTGTTTTTCAGGACACCCCCATTGTGCTTCCAGCTGCAGACTCTTGGTAGAAATGGTGACCAACTTTTTGGTGCTGCCACATAGTAAAGGATATAAACTCAACATTACAACTAATTCGTCTGCAATTGGTGTCAGAGGGAATATTGAAAGAACTGAAACATTGAAAAATATTGACCAAAATATTTGACTGGTGTCTACTACAGAGAACTTACATATTTTTGTAAGCAGAATGTGGCTTATACTGTTGTCACAGTTAGATAATCAATGACCATAACCCACGACATGATTTACTGGCCTAACTGTAATTCGTTTAATGCATCACCAGTTACTTCAGATGCACTTTGTTAGTTGGAACAGCCTTGTTCTCTCTACATTATATAACTCTCATCATGGCAATGTAGTGCAGTTACTATGCTCATTTCAAAAATATCTGCTAAAAGTAGCCACAATCGATCTTTACTTTTTTAATTTGACCTAATGCTGACAGCATTTAGATTTCATGTGGGTAATAATCATTATGTATTATCACATGAACAGAGGTTTGACTTATTCTTGAAATCCATATTAATATCCAGCTTTGAAATCTATTTTCACTCAGAAAAGCATGTTTTATCAGGTAAACAAGTTCCTTCATTGCACAGAAATGACAGGTGAAGAGGTGAAGAGGTGAAGGAGAAACTCAGTACTACCAATAATCACCTCTGGGTTTTTTTCACAGATGATGTCCTCCCTATTTACGCCTACCCTCACAAGATGGGCAAGTCAGTGACTGGTGGCTATGTGTACAGAGGCTGTGAATACCCCAATCTGAATGGCATGTACATATTTGGAGACTTCATGAGTGGGTAAGGTTTAATCAGGTAAATAGCATATTTTTTTTTGCTAAGAATGACAATAAAACATTTTTGATTCATGGCAACAATGTGATGTCAGACCTAAACCTGGGTTGGGGGGGGGCAGGGTTAAGGTGAGGAGAAGGTCTGATAAGAACTGGGGGTTGCGGGCATAAAGTGATTTGTAAGTGAGGAGGAGGATTTTGTGTGAAATACTGGACTGGACCAAAAGCCAGTGAAGATGGATGAGGCTGGGGGTGATGTGCTGCCAGGGCTTGGTGCAGGTTAGAACCCTGGCAGCTGAGTTCTGCACATACTGGAGCCTGTCCAGGGCTTTACTGAGTCCCCAGGGCAAGACTCCATTACAATAATCCAGATGGGAGGTAGTGAAGGCATGGACGATGGTCTCTGCCACTGACTCTGAGTGATGGCCAGAGTCTGGAGACTTTCTGAGGTGGTAGAAAGCAAATGTGGTGATGGATTTTGATGTGTGGCTGAAATAAGAGGGTGGAGTCCAGAATGACACCGAGGTTGCTGACTTCTCCACATGGAGGAGAAGTCTCTGACTTCCTGGAGCAGCGCCTTGATAGCCATAACCATAAAAACCCATTACTTTCAAAACATAAAGTGAATGTTGCCTCTGTACTTTTACTTAAGTAAAGTTTGAATGCAGGGCTTTTTAATGGAATATTTTTCACACTGTGGTAATGATACTTTTACTTAAGTAAACTTCAGATTTGAATATTTCTTTCACCACTGGTAATGGTGGTGAGGAGGTAGTGTGGCTCAGGTTCTGTTTGGCGACACCTAAGAACGACTTAATATCCTTATGGATCCATTTTCTTCATGTATGTTTACATTCTATGTGTCATTTTAATGTGTCTGTGACGGTGACAGTCTCATTTTCATGGTCAAAGGTCACTGTGACCTTGTGTCCATCCTATTCTCATGAACGCAGTATCTCAAGAAAACATTAAGTGAATTTCCTCAAATTTGGTACAAATGCCCACTTGGACTCAAGGATGAACTGATTAGAATTTTGTTGTGAAAGGTCCCTGTGACCACATCTTTCTCATTCTTGAGAACGCGACATCTCAAGAACACCTTAAGGAGTTCTTGAGATGAGTTTTTTCAAATTTGGCACCAATGTCCACTTTGAGTCAAGAATGAAGTGATTACAAATTGGTGTTCGAAGATCAAAGGTGAAGGTCACTGTGACCTCACAAATGTTTTTGGCCATAACTCAAGAATTCATACAGTAGCTATGACAAATTTCACACAAATAGCTAATAGGATAAAATGATGGAGTGATGAAATTTTATGTCCAAAAGGTCAAAGGTCAACGTCATTGTGACATCACTATGGCAGCTGTGGCTCAGAGGTGGAGCGGGTCATCCATCAATCGGAAGATCAGCGGTTCAATCCCCGGCTCCTCCAGCCCGCATGTCAAAGTATCCTTGAGCAAGATACTGAACCCCAAATTGCTCCCGATGATGCTTCCATTGGTGTGTGAGCATGTTAAAAACTGAGAAGCAGGTAGCACCTTGTATGGTAGCCTCCACCACCAGTGTATGAGTATGGGTGAATGTGACTCGTAGTGTAAAAAGCACTTTGAGTGGACGGATGATTAGAAAGGTGCTATACAAATGCAGGTCCATTTGCCATTTACCATAACGTTCTGCATAAACACTTTTATGGCCATTATTTAACATCATAACACAGGAACGAAAGGGGAGACTTTGGACTTTGGTGTCCACCTTGAGACTGTGCTGATTGTATAGATCTTGTCTAGATCTAGAATTTGTAGTTTCTTTGCAGCAACATCCATATTTGAATAATTGTTAAGTGTCATGGCTACATATAAGTCTGGACAGACATGGATGTACACTATAACTGCAACTGACTGATTTGTGAAGGCATGCTTTAGTTTGTCATATGGATTTTCCATACTGTATTTTTATTTTTATAACATTAGCACATAAAATGCTGTGCACACTACATCTATTTCTTGAGTGTCCATCCAGGGAGCAGGATGTCTGTTGCTCTTCCTGAGTTTTCCTTCATTTGTTCCCCATTACAAAATTTGAATGGAGGTTCTAAGGACAGAGGCTGATGTATGCTGTACAGACTGTAAAGCAACCTGAGGCAAACTGTGATTAATGATACTGGTCTATGTACATAAAACTGACTTGACTTGATTTGACACTGCTATATAACAAGTTCATGCATGCCCTCTAACACTGTTCAAAAGTATTTAGGGAAAAGTAGGAAAACATAAAGCAGAGTAAAAGTTGGCAAAACTTTCTATTAATGCATTAACGTTTAACATCACAACACTCCATCATGAAGTGCACATTAGAGATTGTAGTTTTTTCCTTTTCCAGGCGTTTGATGAGCCTGCAGGAGGACAGAAATACAAGGCAGTGGAAATACAACGAGATCTGTATGGGGTTGGGCCTGACCTGTGCCTTCCCTGGACTCATCAACAACTACCACCAGTACATCATCTCCTTTGCAGAGGATGAAGCTGGTAATGCATAAACACATGCACACCCTCAAACTTAGAAAACGTCTTAAGTTTGCACAAGCTGTAATTTGGAAATAAGTTTTCCTGTGTAATATCCTCCTGATGTAATGTTTTGTTTTTCTTTCCATCAGGCGAGCTGTACTTCATGTCGACTGGAATACCGAGCGCTACGTCACCTTCAGGAGTCATTTATAAGGTGGTGGACCCCTCAAGGTGAGTAATAAGGAGTGTGCGCTATACTGGTGTGCCGCAGCTAGAAATTCCTGTCCTCTGTTAGACGGCGCAGGCTATGACATAGAATGACACTGTCCAGGACTTCATTTCAGCTTCAGCAGAACATGAGTAATGATATATTTTTATGCATGCATCCATCCATCCAACACATGTTCAGGCACAAAAGAACCGCACAGTCAGTTCAACACTGGATCTGAATGATCCTGCTCATACAAAACCAGGTACAAGATGGTACAGTCCATTACTGGCACTGCTAGGGGTGATATGGAATAGTCCAAGCTGCAGCAGAAACAGGGTTTTATACAGTGAGTGATATGATCATTACTTTGCTTCTTTCTTACTTTATCATTGCACAAAGAAAACTGTTTAATTTGCCATGTACAGTAACTGCTTACTGTGTGGAGAGTTTACAGTTCTGTTTCTACTTCTTGGAAATGGATATGTAAGACACACATCTGGTCATAATTACAAACACAGGCATGTCATTCTTCTCTGTGAGCCTGAGGGATGTGCAGTATCATGATCATACTTGGCCTGGATGTGCGCTTAGATCTGTGTTTTCTCAGCGCTGGTGGGATAACTTTTGCTGAATGTGGAGGTTATACTGCCTGTCTCTGTTTTGGTAAAGAGGGGGAAATGAAGCAGTGTTGGCAGTAGTGTGAAAGGCCTGCCATCCTAAATCTCCCTTCTCTGACATTGCTTCAGACAGCTCTTGGCTCTCTCTGCATTTCTCTCAGCAGTAGATGGTTGTGTCACCTAATTTGTTTCCCAGCCATCAAGCTCATTTAAGCGTTTCTCACCACTTTGGTGACTTGAGCTGGAAATTAAATACATATTAAAAGACTGAACATTTGAGTTTTTTTTATGTGTCCACCTGCTTGTATTCTGGCTTATCTCTCGTGTGCAACAGTATTTCATTCTGTTTTGCTTTCAGACGTGCTTCACCGAGACAGTGTCACTATGACCCTCTTCCTGTCAGAGTGAAAAGTAACCTCATCCAGTTTGTTCCCCAGGAGAGTGAGTCCACTTCCAAACACTTTGACCTCACTACTGACTTGCTACAAAACTAATTAAATCTGTGACATTATATATTATATTCTTGATCTCATGTTGTTTTATTCTTTTTCCATTAGCATTAATCGGAGTTGAGATACCAAACAAAATCGAGCCTGAGCCACAACCCACAGAGTCCTACGACTGGCTCCAGGAGCTTATTGACCTTCTTGGAGTACCAGACCCAACCACTCCTTTGCCAACCACAACTACCACTAAATCACCCAGACATTCAAGGCGGAAAGGCAGACGCAGGAAAGGCAAAGCCAGAGCGGGGAGTACACCCCAGCTCCAGAACGGAGCAGTGAGGCTGGTTGGGGATGACCAAGGCCGCAGCGACCGTGGACGGGTGGAGATCTACTTTAACGGGGCATGGGGCACCGTGTGTGATGACCTGTGGACCACCAAGAATGCTGCAGTGGTTTGTCGGCAGTTGGGCTTCAAGTACGCTCTGAAGGCAGCCAAGAACTCAGAGTTCGGGGAGGGGAGAGATCTGGAGATTCTTCTGGATGATGTTCAGTGTGAAGGGATCGAGTCCACCCTGCTGGATTGCCAACACGCTGGTGTGGGGATAAATAACTGCGCCCATTATGAAGATGCTGGGGTGATCTGTGGCAACTCGGACTATGTTATAGAAGTCTAAATGTTTGACTACTATCAAATCAGAGCTAATTATCATCGACTAAACCGGTTGTCTTATAAATCCACCCTAAATGTAACAGTTCAAAACTGATATTTTCAATCTACTTTTGGTGAAGAACTTGCTAATTCCCATCTATTAGCACACCAAACAGACCAAATAACTTTGTGCTACATTTCCAGCCACTACAAGTGGAGTTAAATAGCATAAAGGTGCCCTAAAATTACTGTATTTTGTTGTCAGTCCATCACAATATAAAAGGAAAGGGGAAATCTTGTATAATACAATGCAACCACAATACAATGTGCTTTGAATAAGGGGCATGTTATCAATTGTTCTCATAGAACCCACAGGTAACTACAAAAAGATGATGAAATCCCAATCTAAAGCAGGTAGTGATGTAGGTTTTTATGGAAATTGGGAGCGCCAATGGACAAAGAATAATCCTTTAATCAAAGCATTCCAGAGGTTATTTATAAGATAAGCTAACAGCTGGAATGCACTGATGATATCTAACACTTTAACCACATCCAAGGGTGGAGTTTTCCTTCAGCAGTGTTTACTTGCCATTAGGGGCACATAGCTTTTTCTCAAAGCTAAATGTTTATGTAGGAGTTTATTTTTAATTTTTTTTTTTCTATCTTAGACTTGAATGTTTAATTTGAATGTATGTTTAGCACTTTTGCATTCACTCTTTGCCCTTTCAGTGATTTGTTACAGTAACAAATTTGATAATTAGTGTCTGAATGTCGTATTTCCAAGTGAATGTTCGATGCCCACTGAATGAATGTGTGGTTGTATCATGATGTTGTAAATTTAGAAAATGATTTTAATAAAAGGGTCCTAGTCTGTACTGGTTTACAGCTACACTTGGGCCTAACATAACTCGACATTTGAGAGCACTGTTTTATGTGAAGTTTATCCCATCTATTGAAAAGAAGGACAAGGTAACAGTTTATTAACAATCATATTTTCACAAATGTGTTATTTTCACAGTCAGGCAAAATAAGTGTTACAATATCATGTTGCCTAAATTTAAGGATGTGTTGGCAAAGCTAGTGCTTTCTTGGGATTTTAATGTTGGCTAATATGGCAGGTTTCAACAGGACAGCATTAAAGTAACACTTAACATTAGTGCACCAGCAAAGCTTGGTGATGTAACACTAACATTACATTTGATGTAACGCTAACAGTACATTTTGTTATTTTGTAATGTTAATTAGTTACAATACAGTACAACTCGAGCCTTACTAACCCGGCTTTCTGACTGCTGTCCTTGTTAGTGATTCACCATACAACTTAGCTAGCTCCTTGTAGATGTTTAGACTTTTCTACAAGCTAACAAAATACAAACGTCTCAATATGTAATGCTAATAGTCAGTTGTCATTTTATCGTTGCAGTATTTTACCAGGGGTTGTGGGTTTGAGCCTTGCTGGGGCTTGGAAGCATGATTCCAAGATTGTTAGCATAGTTGTGAGATTGAACTGCACCCTGCAAATTCCAAAGGTTAGCATCAAGCGCCCCAGGACTGAAAAATTAAGCTAACATGGTAGTGCCAAAAACTGCAGTCTTACATGGCCACTGGAGGCTGGCCAAAAGTGACTCAATCCCAATGGACCCTTAAGTTCAGGATCAAAAACTGTAATTAAGGCTAATTACTATGCTGATCTGTTCTGTACGACATCTATTGCACGTTTGTCCGTCCTGGAAGAGGGATCCCTCCTCAGTTGCTCTTCCTGAGGTTTCTACCGTTTTTTTTCCCCCTGTTAAAGGGTTTTTTGGGGAGTTTTTCCTTATCTGCTGTGAGGGTCATAAGGACAGAGGGATGTCGTATGCTGTAAAGCCCTGTGAGGCAAGTTGTGATATGTGATATTGGGCTTTATAAATAAAATTGAAAATTGAAAATTGATAAAGTTTTGGTTGGACACCGTTAGTTGACAAGTCACTACCAAGGCGACAGCTTTGGTTAGGTAAGTTAACAACCATTGTGTGACTCCAGATTTAAAGAGTAAAGGCGTAGTCGTGGCTGTTGCTATTTCAGTGGGCTTTCAGGTCATGAAAGTTTATTTTAATGTTTTGGTCAATGAAAAAAAATCTTGTTCAGCACAAAGGAGTTGGATGTTCTGTTTTCTGGTAAGTGATTTTTGTTTTAATGGATTTAAGCCTGTTTTTTGCAAACAAAAAATGGCATTAGCATTAGCTGAGTTGCTCATAGCTGTAACTTCTAACCAAGCTAGCAGCTATTGTTGGGTTATGTCCACTTTCTTGTCCAAATATTGTCACATTTGGCTCCAAATATCCAAGCAGGCGACAGCCAAAATGCCAAACAATGGCTGACATCATGGTGGCTACATTCATTATTTTACACACAATCTGTGGTTAGCACACACCGCCACAGTTCATACTAGACAAAATCAGCTGCATACTGGCACCCTGTGGTCTTTTGCATAATTGTATTTAATGAACTACAAAACACGCACAGCATCACTATTAAGAATAGATAGCTGAATGTTGTGACTGTACAACATTTTTCTTTTTCCATCAATTGTTCAAACATTGCATCACAATTCAAGTCTAAATATACAAGCAAAACATATCCTTAAAAAAAGACCAGCCGAGCATCTTCCATGATTGCATTATGCGGAGTAAGTATCAGGACTTACAAAGTCTAAATGACAGCCCTTTTATTCTAACCAGTCATTGCTTGTTTGAGTAATCTTTCCTCTGTGTTGTGAAGGTCATTGACATGCAAAGCAGCAGATCTCAGGAGCCGGAGCCAGGCTTGACCACCCTACAGCCTGCCAATGTGTGGCCCTCGCCTCTACTTCTCACCCTGGTTCTCTGCATCCAGCCTGATATTAGACCTGAATCTCCTCAGTATCTGTATGTCACAGCAGGACTTTGATTTATGACATTACAAGAGAGAACATGACACACACCTACAAAACATCAAGGACAACACAATGAAGTTTAAGACTTATTGAAATTGTAGTTCTTGATGTGAAGATAACAAAGATGCATGAGTCCAGGTGACTGGATGAAATCATGCCTTCATACATCCACCAAAACATACATACTTATTTGACCTAGAATGGGAAGCTTAATTCACTGGCTGTGAAATGTTACATCACATGAAGGACATGGAAAGTACTTTACCCTTTAACGTTCTGCTAAACCATCTGGTAAAGCACATTTTGAGTCACTATATCTTAATGAAAAATGTGTTGAACTTTACTTAACCTGGCTGAGCTA